TCAAAATGTCGCTGAAAACGCCAACGCGGATACAGTGATGTTGCTACTCGCCTAACTCGGATCTCGTCGTCTCCCTTCGAGCCCTCGAGCCTCGCTCTCTTTCTCTCCCCTTCTCGCTCTTCCCCCTAAACTCCCCTTTCCCTCTCTCTATCTCCCGATCTCGTTCTCGACGAGAGCCAGGCGGCTCTACGATCTTATAGCGAAGAGAAAGAGAAGATCGCGGGTGCATCGATTACTCGCGCGTACAGGTCACCCGGTTTGTTTCCCCACATTTGTTTCTCTACGCGCGTCGTCGTTCGCGTCTCGTCTTCGGCGGCGGGATATCTCTCTTCCTCTCCCCCCTCCCTCCCCTCCGCCGCTGCCGCCGCCGCCGCCGCCGCCACCGTCGCCCGTTTCCTCGGTTTCCCTTACAAGAGCGACGGGTTCCGGGGGAGGCACCTCGATCGTGAAGCCTCGCGCTTCTCGATATCACGCTCCAGGTATACTGTTGACAGTGGCGGAAGGGCAGCCTCCTTCACTTCCACGAGAGACGCGCGGACAGTATGTACCTTCTGCATTCACGGTGAAATCGGCCTCGTCACACTCGACACCTAACTCGATTCCGACCTTTTGTTCGCGCTGCGCGCCTCGGTCTCTTTCCCTCCTTCCTTTTATGCCCGCACCTCCCCTCGCGGTTATACTCACAACTCGCAACCGTTAAACGCTCGCCTTCGCACCGATCCCAGCCTAGATTAATAGTTGGCCGCGGCTTAGGTAGTCGGACTCGACGTCCTCGTCTAGCGATCGCGAATCCACGCAGGACATGCACGGAGTCGTCACCCTGACGAGTGAGTCTTTCTTGTTTTTCGAAGTGACGACGGAAAAATTTCGAACTCTGTCGACCACGACTCCGGTGCGATGCCGATGCGATAAAAAAAATGGACTCGATCGAGTGCAGTGATCACTGATCGGTGAAGACCACAAGTAACCATTGCTCAGCATCTCGTCCAGCATCTTTACGCAACGATTTGCAAAAGTGCTGTTCTCCTTTCGAACTCTCCGTCTAATATCCGTCGAGTCTTCTTCCGAATTTCCTGCCGATCCCGTTTCTCGATCGAAACAGTCGATTGACCCCAAAAGATCCCGGTTGAAGTAATCGGAACATTCGCAACGAGTAGTGATCGCGCGATCGTTTTCTCCTCGAGATACCGCCCTACGAATAATTCACAGCGAATGCGAAAACGCTTCGTCAGAATGAATCTCGTGACGAAGCGCGCGTCCCGCTCACGTAAGAATCTAAGAATCGTCGTTTTATCAGCGAATTCGAATTTGGAATATCATCGGATGTTCCGCGCGGTCCGTGCCCGGTCTTGTCTCGTCGTCGGGTGATTATGTTCGATTTGTGTTTCGAGTGCTTGCAACACATTCGTGTAATCGTCTTCGGACTCTTGATAGACCTCGCTGAGGAAAGTTCGTTGACTTGGAGTTGGGATTCGCTATTTAAACAAGTTCTGCGAGAAGGAAACAGCTCGTACAAAACTTCATTGTTTGTTGTGGGTAAAATAAAACGCTTTAGTGACACGAATACATTACGGAGACTGTGTATCTAGAATGATTAACCTCCCTGTGTTCCATATTTTCCAAGTCATGAATTGCAATAATAATGCATTTTTAATCTCCTTCATCAAGTCTCTTTACTTAAAGAGACGCTAACACAAATGATATGTTAGTGATAAAAAATATGTATTTGCTTGAAATCGGTACTTTTTTCTAAAAATTACAAAAATTATTTTTCATGTCAAAACATTGTTTATCAGGATATATTTATATTATAATATATTCTGCTATTGTAGGAATGTTATTCTTAAAAAATATGTTAACATGTTTTTTTATTATAAAATATTTGTTATGTAATCTCTTAAAATTTTTAAGAATAAAATATGGAAAAATTATATACACGCAGCATATCTGTTTATCTAATTCTGACAGAGAACTTATGTATAGATCTGTTTTCTGTGGCTGAACTAGTGTACACTTTTGGAACTTAAAGTGAGAAAGATATACATTTGATATTTGTTTAAAGCGAAGAAGACAGTTCCAGAACAGCCTAGTGCACAAGAACAGAAAACAGACTATATATTTTTGAATCGTGTTTCATATATTATTATTCATATGTATTATTATTGTGTATATATTATTGTTTGATGTGGAAGAAACATGTTTGTTTTACTTCAGGTTTTGGATAAACTCGTTTATTGAAAAACAAAAAAAAATGGTGTCGACACGTCAGTCAAGTAACATGGGGAGTAGTGGTGGCAGTGGATTAGTTGGTGAAGTAGAAGTAAATTCGTTAAAAAAGCAACCTTCTGTAACAGCTGGCACATCCAATAATGGAGCCACCATTGAATCGCGCAATTTGAATCTTCTGGATTTACCTGTCGAAGTCCTTGAGAAAATCTTTGGCTACCTAGGTTTCAATATGGTAGCCCATATGCGTTTGGTAAGTATCAGTAAATTCAAAGTGTTTAATTCACTTTTCCTAGTGGAATTACTATAGCAAATATTCTATTCATAGGTTTGCCATCAACTGGACCGCATTTGTGGATCAATGCTAAACTCTACGTTTCAAAAGCTACAAGCTCAAATGTTAAGCCGTTTTCAGGCTATCAAAGCGCAAATGCCCAGACGCGAGTCTGCGCGTCGAAATCATCCGTTAGCATGCGAGTCGGATATTATTGAAACTCTACATATGCGGCTTACCCTGCTGCAAATGAGTTTCGGCAAGCACATTGAACGGAAGCATTGCTGCTTCTTCCCCGGCGAGGTAAGAACGAGAGATGTAAAATAAAATCTAATGTTATATGTTAGACGTGGCACTAGTAAGATTAAATTTACTTAAACTTTTTTTTTAATATTTTTTTTATGTTTCTTAGATATTTCCAGTTTTTCGAATGCATTCTTTTGCCATTATATGCCATCATGTAGAAAATAAGTATAGGTATACTAAATTTGTTAGCAATAGCTCTTCTTAGAATAATCTTTTACAATTAGTTCTTACTTTCCAAGTTTTCCGTAATTATATTCAAACCCATAAAAGCATAGAAACGGCAATAAAAATAGTATTGCTGTTTTACAGATTTTAGATGAAGTTTATCGCATTCTCCATTATATAAAAGTTACTCCGAAATTACAAAGACCTTACAAAGTCACAGACGAATTGTTTGATCTGAGCACCATGGCTATGGAATATTTCAAGGAACACATTGAACCAACATTACCAGAAATACCTTACTTCGGTGCTGATTTTCTGGATCTTGCAGGAACATTCTCTTGTAAGCCGATGATTCAATACTTATACCTTTGTAATATAATTTTATTGTAAATTTTATTGTCGCAGCTTCTAGTAGCGTGAGCAAACCATTTATGTGCCTGGATTCCACGCCCTTGACCATTGGAAATGGAAAAACGGGCAATGCTGGTGAAGAAGAAGGTTCTTCGTCGCATTGTTCAGATGATCCCGCTCTTTTGGAATCCAATGTATCACCACCACAATCGAACATGGTTTTACGAAAACGAATTCGCAAGATTAAACAGGGCATGAGACGATACAACAGTCAGCTAACATTGATGCGTAGGGATTTGAAGAGTTGCAAGGCGAAAATTGCGGATCAACAGAAACAAATCGTAGAATATGCTACTCGATTGGATGATAATGACAAGAAGAATGAGGAGACGTCACGAAAATTCAGCACACTTCTACAGGTATATACATTCAAGGGATTTTTAAAATAAAAGTAAACATTTAATTTGTCATATGTGAAATTTGCTTTATAGCTTATTCTTTTAAATTGTAATTGGTTGCTTCATTCTCAATTCTCATTAGAAATTTATATTCTCATTTTATAAATACAAATTACAAATTTTATTTTAGGAGTTGAACAAGTGTAAAACTGAGCTACAATATTGGCGCTCCAAGTCACCAGCAATACCAGTGTGTGTAGGTTGTGGTCAGTCAATGCCAGTCCCTACAGAAGATTTACAAGCTTTAGCCAATCAGGGAGTGCTGCCGGATGCGTTTGGCGAAGGGCACGACTTCATTCCCATTGCGGATGCTCATAGTCCCACCGAAGTGGTACAGCAATCTGTAGTTACGCAATCTCCGTCGACGCCGACAGTGGACATGGCACCCCCAAAGGCTCCCGTGCCTTCAATATCTTTTAAACGGAGATCTATCGTGGAAGAAACGTCGGGCGATGCCGCGAAAAAATCACGTCGCACTGCCAAGTCTCGTCAGGCTAAGCGCTCAAAAATATAAATTGATAACACTGATCATGGTACAAATATTCAACCAATCTTTAATGGATTTCCGAAGATAGGGACTTTCTATGGTTTACGCGCGTTTCTTTATGTCAGCAAGCCGATATGATCTTAGAAGAGTACAAAATTCCTTACCGAACGTCCTGCATCTCGCGCAACGAACATCGTTTTAAAAATTTTAGCCGTATCGATTGCCGCGATTGTCAAGAACGCTAGTTGATTTTTCGATTATTTCACGAGTTTATCGTCGCTGATAATAACGACGCACTTTAATGAACATTCTAAAGAAGCCTAACCGATCATTCGCTTTGCTCGTAAAGCAACGTCCAACTTTCTTGAATTCTTATTAAATTCATTTGTTTTTTAATTATCATTGCCGCGATACACTTGAAGACGATAGAAAGTTGAAATCATGTGTCATGTTTGTGTTTGTCATGCATTTAACAGCGATATCGCACGAAAGAACGTACTAAATAATATTATGGCGACAAACATTCGCCTTCCATTTTGCTCTTCGATCAAAAATATGCGATTCTCGTGTTATTTTTAAAATAATATATCCTTGCTAGAATGTTGATTGGATATCGCGTCTTCAATATTTTGATCGAATAAGACAATATAGGAATAGAGAAGGCATTAAAATTTCATAAAGCAACTTATATAAATCGAATTTTGTGGTGGAAACCAAATAATTTTTAGAAAATTGTAAATTAATTCGAGCATTTAAACCACATTCTATATTAATTGAATCGGTATAAAGCGAGTAATTTTTAGAAAATATGTTCGAGTATTTCAATCGCATTCTCCATAATATAGCTTGCGAGTAACTCATACATAAAAAATTTTTAGATCGAGTTTTTAAAGGAAATTTTATTTCGTGATATTGTTAAAAAATATCACGGATTAAAGTATCTGGGATAATTGATTTCGATTGCTGGTCCGGTATTACAAATACATTAATAGCTATATCAATTTGTTTTGATTCGTTATACTTGTTCGAATTAGAAAAATTGATATTTTTTTACAAGCAGTAAATGTTTTATCATCTAATTGTATCATTTATATTCACATGCATAAATTGAATGAATTCGTGTGGCTAGAAAAAATCAAAACAATTTTATGATAAAAGTATCATCCTAATATTAAGACGCGGAACAAGAAAATATCGAAGAAGAATTTAAATTCTACTAAAGAGCAAAATGTTGATACTTGGAAAGGTGTTAGTTTATTTTTATGAATACGTCATTTTACCAAAACAATTATGAGATGGCGTACACATTGCAATATTAATAGAACTAGATAATTATTTATAGGAATGATTCTATTTAGATAAAAGAATATTGGGTATCATGCCATTTTTGTATATTATTGTGCGGAAAAATGAAGTTTTGTTATGAATAAAATTAATAGCATTTGTATTTATGAGAGTAAATTTAAAATGGGGGACGTTCACATTTATAAATTATAAATATCAAGGACATTTGCAATCGGCTGCGGAAGTCTGATGGTTTACCTTACGCGATAAACAATTATTGGTACAGTAGGAGCAATTAATGTCTTATTTGCACCGATTACCCAATTAATCTCAAAGCAGCGTAGTTAGATATTGTGAGTTATTCATGATGATACTTATTAAAAAATGAAAAATACAGATAAATATATAAGTAAATGATACTTTATATATTACAAATATGTATGTACATATGTCTATATATATGTACATGAATGTATGTACGTATACATAAATATGTATATACATATATTTGAGTGGTACTTGCCAGAGGTGTGCATACCACACGCAGAAACACTTTAGTTTAAACTTTAATGGAACAATAAGATATAACGATTAATTAATTAATTAAACAATTAATTAATTAATGATAAAATAATTGAAATATATATGAAAATATATATATAAATATAATGTAACTATAATGGGAAAACGTTGCGGTACGCATACGTGTGAGGTGAATGTGTGATATGTATGAGAATAATATACTAAATTTGAACTTTGACGAGAATTTACGATGTGATGCTTTATCGATTTAATCGCGGGAAAGTGACCTTTATCCGAAAAATATAAAATACACGTGGGGCGTTTCTGGTTGCGAACGAGTATGTAAAACTTCACTTAATGTTACGTTGAATAGCGCATTGCGGGGGCGGGCATAGCCAAATCGTACGTGTCGGAAATTTCGAAACGCTTGTATGTTCACTTGCAAAACGTCGCGCGCGACCAGCAGCGGCGTATATCACGAACATCCGTAGGATGAGACCATCCAGAAATTCGCATCGAGACTCTGTTTCGTCATTCAGGCCCCTAAGAACGAACATATAGATCCAGGATCGGCATCTACAGCGGCGAATTGCATCAGCATAAGTCAATGTCAATTTTGGTTGGCTGGCGAACTTACATGCTTTGTAATTCATCGAGATTTTTTAAAATTATTTTACAGGTGATATCTGATATCTGATAGTTTTGTGATATCCCGTATAAAAAGGACCGAGCAAGTTAATCATTAATATGCTATCGGTGCAATCCAGCATAAAAATAAATCGACAACTTATCCTCTATTTGCACTTCTCTTAACTCAAAGAGAAATTATCAATCTGGCAAATTATCCACCCGGATAGTCGATACAAATAAAAAGTTAATTTAAGAAGGTTACATTAGCATACAATATGGAGTTCTAATTATCTAGTATAATTGTTTAGTACTAATTTTGGTTAATTCATGTGTATTTTTACTTAATTTATATGGTAATGCTTGGATAAAGAAGGGACAGAGAATCGCCAACCAGAGTTGGGTGACTCGGACCGTCTCGTGCAATTCAGCCTAAACATACCTCACATATACATATATATTATATGTAATATAATATACGATAATATATTATATATAATATAACACCTTTAACGACGTCTTTCACTTGGCGTCGTTTTGAACAGTTCACGCTCCTCTCTTTCTCGGCTTTCCGACATAATCCGTCCCCGAACGATACAAATGTAGAACCGTGTACTACGCATATTATGGATCTAAGGTAGACGTACGATCGAATATAACAGTGAATATGCGAATTAGGAGTAGAATAATTTTCTAGACGGTAGAGAAGTGCTGTGCGCGCGGGAGGAAAGGGAAACGAAAGGGAGGAAAGAAGGAGAGATATATATATATATAGATATATATCTTGGAATTACTTGCTTCACCCCGAAACCTTGCTATCTGCAAGCGTATTAATGCAAGCAACAGTCCTTGCCTCAGGTACACAATAGACAAATACCCATGATGATACCGAAATCGTGTACAATTCACGGAGACAAAAATGATGATATAGGAACACAATTTGCCAGCGCTACAGTGAGGTGCGCTGTAACGCCGAGGAATAACAGATACATTGTCTTAAATGGTTTTACGTGTATTAAAGCGATTGTAAATATATATATTAGATACACCTTATAATAAACATAATTTAACATATCTAACGTTCTAACTTCATCTATCACGCGCGCACTACTTGAAAAACTAAAATTTCATATATTTCATACTTAATTATTTTATCATTATTTTATTATATAATTATTGTTATTCGTAATGTGATAAAAAGGGATCTTGTAAACTCTGTGTTCATTTATATTGTAATCTTCTAAAATTCGTAAATTTTTGTTTAATTTTAATTTAATTTTTCTTTTAATACAAGTCATAAGTTTTGATAAGACGTCTTTTTGCAGTTCAACTAATCATCTTTTATAACAGATCGTTAATTACATTGATGTTATTAAATTGTATTATATTGTCTTATGTTATATAATACTTTCAATGATATAATTAGATTATCAGTCTCGTGTTTTATTAATCATTATGAAATAATTTCAAAGTCATATGATTGTTTTATAAAAATGTAATACCTAACATGTATATATTTTATATAATTAATTAATATACTAAATAAGTCAAAAAATTAAGAAATAATCGTGGTTTTCAAGTACGAAATGTGAAAAATAGTTTTTTCCTTTTTGTTTATGTAATTCATCAAACCACTGTTAGGACTAAGATTTTTTCAATTCTGCTAACGAGATATGGAGTCTATTAATATTCATTTCTACAAAATAGATTAACTTGTAGATTAATTTATTCTCAGATTAACTTGTCTAATAATTAAAAACAGATAAAAGAAAGTTAAACCGAGAAAAGTTGATCTATGTTGAAGAATTGAACAGGATAGTTTTTATGAAAACAGTCAAAGCGTTTTTCACATAAAACAAGCCTATTTCAACTCTAGAGAGAAAGAAAAAGGCGAGAAAGATTAAACTGAAATGAGCAGATGCATCAGTATTCTTTTAATTATGTTTATTTTGTATTTCTTTCCTCTTTTAATGTTACTTTTCTCTTTTATCTTTCAATTGACTGCGCGCTCGTTCCGTCTTGAGCGGAGAAAGTGCAACATAGCGCGGCTGAAAGTAACTAGTGTTACTCACTAGTTTTTCCATTTCCGTCAAAGATGGTAGAAACCACGCAAAAGTATCATTACGGGACGAATACGAGTATCGTTACGAGATCGTTCGCGGTGTCGTGATCGAGTGTGACCGAAGAAAGAATCTTGTGCAATCTAATGTGCCTTGACCTTCCGAAATTTTCCTTCTTTACACATTTAAATCTCGAGTCGATCATCTTATGATCATTCTCCGATCATAACCGTTTCATGTACGCGTTTTGATTTCCTGCTGCTTTAGTAAGAGGTAGTTGGAGTCGCGCAAGACCGACCATGGCAGATTCGTTGCACAAGGATGGATATGAGAATCGTGAGTAAATAGAGAAAAAGAAAAGAAAACAAAGCTTTCCTTTCTGTTGTCCTATCGTGCGATTTTCTGCACGCTTGTTCCTGGTTAACTGCCCCGTCCTGTACTTCCTACACTCGGGAACAACTTGCATTCGGTTCCTGGAGGATGAAAAGCGTAGAAGGCGCAACTCCAGGTGGAGAAAAAGATACCAGTCATTCGAGTCCATTCACCGATCATGGTGCATCCAAGTTCAACCATTATATTCTTTGAACGCATCCTGACTATTCCTGACGTTCACTTTTGATGCCGTTGCATAACAGTTCCGAACGCAGCCATTGTTCCTAGATGATAGAGAAGGGGAAAAGCGTTCCCCACTCTGGAATTTCTTCGTGCGCAGTTGAATCTGCGCAACCGACCACGTGATTACTTTCGTGTTTACATGTATACAGTGCGTCTGCTAACATCTGCTGACAGTGCTGACACTTGCATGTCGTGTTTAGCCATTCATTTTCGAAGCACTATTTTGACCAATTTTTAGCTGCATTATGTTCATATTTTTTTTATTTCAAAATAAAACGAATATATATTTGGAAAATGAACGTTAGCCGTATTTTTCTGTCGGATTTTTTGTTTTATTGAAAATGCGTCGAACGAATACATTAAGACTTGAGGTGAGGAGAGTAAATAAATAAATAATATTCCTAAATAAATAGTATTCCAAAAATAATTTTTTAATTGCAAAAATAAAAATTTTTCATTGTAAAAAATGCAAATATAAAAAAAAGGAAAATCGGATAAGTAAGCATATAAAACAGATACATAGGTATGTAAAGGATTTGGAAAGAAAAATGCCAAGTGAAAGGCAAGAAAAGAAAGCTTAAATCTATATAGTAACGTATATTATTTCATTTATTTATAAAGAGATGGCTGTGAAACCACTACATCGTTATCTATAGGTGTATAACTATCACCTGCCGTTAAGTGATGAT